AATAAAATAAAAAGGAAAAGAAGTAGGAAAAAATATGGGCCGAGCCCAGCTAACAAAAACTAATGGGCCGAGGCCAGCTAAGGCGCTGCAGTCGCCGGTTTGCAGAAACAGCTGTAACCGGCGCCTGTGGCGCTAAATAGGAAATTCCTATTTTCCATGCGTCCTGGACTCTTTTCTTTTTCCTTTTTTTGCTGGGCTGGGTTTCTCATTAGTTTTTACATTTTCTTTTTTACCTCCATCCTGGGCCTGGCCCGTATATTTTCCTTTTCTTTTTTAACCCCATATATTTTCCTTTTCTTTTTTAAAGTTCAAAAAATTTGTACGTGAGGTAGCATTTGACTCTCAACCTCCTTGTTAACTTCCACCCGCAATAACCAACCGCGACAACTTACTTGTCCTGCCTAGTTACTTCTTTTGTTCTTCTTGTTGTGCACCTTCTCCGTCTATTTTGTTTGTCCTTTTTTATTCAATCTTACTTGTTTCCATTTTCTTTATTTCTTCTTATTTTTCTCTTTTCTTTTCCATTTTCTTAAAATTGTGAACATTTCCTTTAATTCATATTTTCTGACTCCTTAGAGTTTTTTTAAATACCTGAAACATATTTTCTGACTCCGTAGACTATTTTTTCAAACGAATAAATGTTCTTTTAATTTCATAACTTTGATCAACTTCATGATTTGTTTTTTCCAATACAGGCGATCCATTCGGTTTTTGGGTTCAAAACGAATTTCGGTTTCATAAAAGTACAAACAGATCTGTTTCTATACAATTGGAAACTAATTTTTATTTGAACCAGAAATTCAATTCAGTCACGGTTCTGATCCAACAAAACCGATGTTTAGGCAAACCTGCTTATGCCACATGTTTTAGTATGGCCAGGTTCAGACGAGTTTGGTCGGTAGCAGTTGCATTTATAGTTTTTTCACACGCTTTTTTCCTCAAGAGCAATCCGAGGTGGTACTAAACCAGAATGTGTAGGTGAAAAAAAGCTGAGACGAGAAAAGGACGGAGAGGCAATGAGGTTGTACAGCACGGCGAGCCTCGACATGGCACTCATCCACACCTCCTGCTTGCCGGTCTTGGGCCAAAAGTGCGGCCCAGTTGTGGCGGGCAAACACTAGGCGCCCGTCATAGTTGTAGAATAGCTTGCCCTGGTAATACGTGCATTGATCGTTGATGTCGGCGACGGTCATCAGCACGAACACCGCCACAACGCGTTGCGAAAGCACCCACAGCGCCCCCGGCTCCCCCGTCTGGATGTATCGCACCACAACGCACTCATCAGGGACCACCGACCGCTGCTTCACGCGCCACGACTCCGCCTTCTCCATCCTGTCGCCGCCTGAGCATGCGTGCTGCCGTGCTGGTAGCGAGGGCGCATATGCGATAGAGCCGAAGGTTCATGCTGCACGAAGGAGTTAGAGTAGGAGGAGTGGAATAGGTCACAGCGGCACCGGCGTTGTCACCATCATCGTCGCTCATCGCAGAGACGCATACCAAGTGTTTGATGAAATGCATGAATAGTAAACTTTGCTAAATTTAAGGGATAGGCTAGAAATGATCAAAATTTAGAGAAGTTAAAATACTCCTGTAAAAAATACTCGGCTATTTGTTATTCTAAAATTTTAGGGGATAGACTAGAGATGGCGTGATATATTATCCCAGTTTCTCACCAAACGACTACTCATAGTTGTTGTGCTGTAGTTCTCATCGACGAGCTAAAGAATGTGTGGTTGTTTCCCTATATTGAAACAAAAAACAAGTCAACCTTTCATACGCAGTATGTCAGATATCACTTGATTTGCCATGTCATGGAGACATAAACTAATGAGCCGTTACGCTGTTGCCATCTGTTGGCATCCGTAGTTTTTTCCACAATGTAATTGGTCAACTGCTCTAGAGTCCCGGTCCAAGCTTTTGTGCCGTATTGTTATACAAAATTGTGGCAGGCAAACTGTCCATGTCATTAATAACTATTCCGTTCAAAACCGGCTCATCGGGGTTTAAGTTCTAAACTTGACACTAGTGCTCGCACTTTTCTAGATTTATTTTAGATTTTTCGGCGATATTCGTTCACTGGAAGTTTAGAAAAGATGTTTCCGTCGACTACAAGGTGTCTCTCATGTCTGTCTATTCTAAAATGTTGTGTCGGTTCAGTATCTTGGAGGTATTCGTAGAAGTAACGTGTGCGTGCATGTGTTCATATGAATGGATGTATATACTTGTGTGAAGATGCGTGATTGTATTAAAAAACTATTCTGTTATTTTGGTCCGAGTTGTTGCTTGTTCCACTCCCCACGACAGCTCTTCCTCCATTCCGCTCTTACCAGCCATTTTGTCAAACCACAGAAGGTACGAAAAAATAATTATGAGCTGCTATGACATCGGCCTAAGAAGGACAGCCCAATCTTGTTACTTCCAAGCCGGCTTTGGTTGCTCTTCCCTCTCAGCCATGGCAGTGCGTGCGGTGTGGTGGTGCGGTGCCTGGCAACACGTCTTTTATGCTTCTTTGGAAGCCTGCCAGGCTCAGCATCTCTAGGCAAGTTAGGCTGGATCTGACTCACTTGATGAATCAGATTAGGTCATGAAACTGGTTGGTTAAATGGAATGTCGCATGCAAACACCCAAAATGATATATGCTTTGATTGATTTTCTCCATGACACTTCACCATATAGCATGTCTAACTAGTTGTTTTCAAAATTTATCATGAATATTTTGATGTCATAATATATAAAATGGTGCCATCAGTATGCATGTTTCTCTACCTAACAACCACTCCAAGTTGTTGTGATGTAGTTCTCATGGATTAGCTAAAGAATACAAGCCTGTTCCCGGATTTAAAATAAAAACACAAGTACGATGACTTTCAAAGGTACTCTTCAGGTCTAAACAAAGTTTTGTTGTCTTACACCTAGATGCAAGAAAATACAACATGACAGTCCATACATAAGACGGAAAATGTGAAAATGTGTACTCGTCATATGTTTCATTGAGCTGACTGACCTGAACAACGATTAGTCTGAGTCACGACTTGATGGATAATGACACCATTGAAAACAATACAACTGGCTAGATGTAGGTTCTACCCAATATGGTGACATAAACCAGTTCCTACTCGATCATATTGTCGTTTGAAATATCCAGTGTTTCTTTTTCAAGGCAACTACGGTGGGAAAAAGCAAGCCTGAACAAATTTTTATATTTAAAAAAGAGATAAGAACCAGGTACGACACAATGGCTACAGGACTTAGCACTGATGCACACAAGAGAGAGAGAGAGAGAGAGAGAGAGAGAGAGAGAGAGAGAGATGAGCCCTATCAAGCAGCCATACATAGAGAAAAGGTTACTAGCTTGCCTTGCGACCACTTTGAACCTTGAAGAACTAGGACAGTCGCAGTCCCCATCGAAAGGCAACCTACCTCCGTGGCCATCTCATGACGAAAAGAGCCGCATACAGTGCCAAAGGGAATGTTCCATAGAAACAACACTTGCATTTCCACTTGGCAACCCATGGCCCATCATGACCGACAAAGTGAACCTCAAACCGTCAAAGGACATGCAACAAATAGACCTCACCGGCACCACGAGCACCCCTGAGAAAAGGTCAACCAACAATACATGGAGTGCAAAAAAACATAGCTTGGGCCACCACCACAGAGCATTTCTTCTGCTAGCAGAAGACGTCCCATGGACTACATACTTACCTACCACACTCCAGCCGAGATGCAGGCAGCCAATAGCGAATCAAGGCTCCAGGACGACGCCCACCAAGCAGGTAAAGACATCGATGTTGCCATCGTCTTCTGATCCAAAGATAAATCTGAGCATTTCACTCGGGGCACACCTGGAGGACAAGATGCGGAAGCTTCACAATAAAGCCGCCAAGGAGTAAAATGCCGCCCAAAGGCGTCACCGTCATTGGTGCTCACAAGGAAAACACAAGGCTTTCGTCCAAATCACCGCATCCCCGATCTCACCGCATCACACCATCTTCCGACTCCATCATAAACATGAGCACGGGACCTTGCAAACCCTTCGGGAAGTCCACAAGCAGCACAAGAAGGGCCTCCCGGCACTCGTAGCTAGCCGAAAAAGAGGCCCAACCCACTGTCGTTGGCTCGAACAACCATCATCAACCACACCCCAAATCACCTCCCACTGTCGTTGGCCCCAACTAGCAGCCAATTCCTCAAGCAGAGATGGGCCACAATAAAACTTGTCAAACCGAGTAGTCCACATCCAATTGGACCCGACACCGCAAACCGAGTAGCAGCCAATCCTCCGTGTGTCTGCTAAACTGCCAATGCCACCTCCGCGTGAAAGTCACCACCACATTCCCACACCCGTGAGAGATCCAAAGCATCCACCAAGTCTCCCACACCACCTTCGTAAGTGTGGGCCACCACTACCGTTGCAAAGCAGCCGGCAACGGCAGAGAAGGGGCACCGAGAGAGGGTTGCTAGTGGCGGCGGTCTAGGTAATCTGGAGTCTCCCAGCGGGAGCGACACGTGGGTCAGGGGAAGTGTATTGCTTGGTTCGAGGTCCAGTGTTTTTGATAACAGAATGAAGAATAATGCATGGTGAGTCTGTTCATATTGAATGTCCAAATTCTTTGGTACGCTTCCTTGCTATGATTACATCTAGAAGTTGCCTCCACTTCCAATGCCCTATTAGTATAACATCAAGTGCTATATCGAGGAATAAAACAATTCATGAGTCGTTGCGCTGACATTTTTTCTAGAGGAAGATCAATAACACTTCACTTCATTATTATACTCATCGAATGAGAGAAAACATGTCATTGCAGCATCTATCTTATATGCAACCATTAATAAGCTTTATAATAGTACATTTCAAACAAATAGAGGACACAAACAATAGTATTTGGAATGATTCAGAGCATAAAAAAGTTAACGAAGACATAATATAAGGAAAAACGAAAGATGGTGCATATTTAGGAGCGGCAATGAGCAAGATATCGATGGACATTGTCATGCATCTACTTAGTCAACTCGATGACCCATGTGTTGGCGTAGATGTAAGTGGTCTTGATGGCTCCGAACCCGGCACCCTTCGCCAGGGCTTCGAACTCCCTCTCGTACCTCTCCCTGCCACCCGGGTTGTGCGCTAGCATGATCATGTCGAGATGGAACCCCCCTTGCGCCTCAAGCGTGGCTTCCGGGTTCACCGGCAGGATGGACTCCACGAGCATCACCTTGCCGTGTGCCGGCAGCGCGTCATAGCAGTTCTTAAGCAGCGTTGCACAATGCTCGTTGCTCCAGTCGTGGAGGATCCACTTCATGAGGATGGTGTCCCCTGAGGGAATCTTTTGGAACATGTCTCCGCCAATGTGGGTGACACCCAGGAACGGCGGAGCCTCGGAGATGACGTGATGAAGGTCAAAGTTGATGCCTTTTATGGTGGGATAGTGGGCGGTGATGGCGCCGACGGTGGCGCCTATGCCGCCGCCCACGTCCACGAGGGTGCTGAGGCCACTGAAGCCCTTGTACAATTCAAGGAGCTTCTTGGTGATGATGATGGAATGGTTCTTCATCCCTTCGTTGAAGACGCGGTTGAAGCGCGGGTCCGTGCCATGGTACTCGAATGCTGACATCCCGTACGCCTTGTTGAACGGGATGCCGCCGTCAAGTACAGCGTCCTTCAGATAGTACCTGCAGATTGTATTTACAAACACAATTTACCCCAAGAACTCATCGTATAATAATTTACATGAAAAATGCCAGTAACTGAATCAATGGGAAAAATATCACTGATTCAAGTTAAGTCCCGGATACTACGCTGATGTCGGAAACCACAACCCGTCAGCAGAAACATGCACTCTGATAAGTGACATGTGGCACGAACACAGGACAACTCCGATCATTTTTTATGCCAAATTTAGTGACGCGAGGATGGCAACTTTACTTGTCAATCATGGCAACTTCTTTTCGGAGGGCAAGTTTCTGTTTTTTTTGTTTGTTTTTTCAATTCGGACGGTAACTTTAGTTATAAATAATGTCAGGGCTGGAGTGCTTCATGCCACACCTGTGACACTTATCGTTTGGGTTAATTTAACATATATATACTCTACTTGGTTGCTTGCAACATCTTCTGCAACGTGTGGCATGAAGCAATTTCGCCCAGACGTTTTTTGATGGCAGCTTTAGTTACCCGAAGATAGCAATTTTATTTGTGAAGCATGACAACTTTTGTTTGATGGCAAGTTTCAGTTTTTTTGAATTTTTTTATGCCAATTTTAGTTGTAAAAATATTAGAACGGTATTACTTTGTGCTACAAAAAATGCTAGATTCATGGGCTCATTATAGGGAGATTACGGAGTGAATCTAACTTGGCAGTTTCTGATTGGGCTAAGGGGGGAGGTTGGGCCCCACGCCCCCACCCACC